TTAGACCGTTGATTTTTGTTAACTCCTTTCTTCGTGAAATAAGCTTACCAAGCAACATGTATATCATTTACGTGTCGATGTCGTATATCCTCCTCTCTCCCCCTCCCCTAGACCAGGTTCCATCCAAATTTGTGAAAAACTCTTTCTCTCATTCACAAACCTTAGCGTAACTTTCAAAGGCAACGTTGAAATTCGGCAGAAATGGTTGCCTTCGCTGCTCACATGACAGTCATTATTAGCAAAAATAGAAACGCCACATTTAAAAAGACAAAAGCTATAAGAAAAGTTGCAAAACTTATGTGGCAAGCTACTGCATACCAACTGATTGCTCTTTTGACGAACTTCCTGCTATGTACGCCGACTCGCGCGAACATTGTTGTTACACATACCCATAAACCGCTTTGAGCGAGCGGCTCTGCTAGCTTTTGCCTGAGCAGAAAGTGGGAGCAAAATTTTCCGTTAGGCACGCCCACACTCAATCACTTGACCCCAACCACTTCGTTAATGGTCAAATTAGTGAACGAACCAACAGAGAAGCGGATGCCCACTTGACCCATTTGGTCCGCCATCATTATTGGTGAATTCACAGGTTAACACAATAGTGAACGACTTGGGTTGAAGGCACCGTCCACCGTGGATCAGGGGGCCTGAGCTTTTATCAATTTTCGATAGTAGTACCCCTACCAAGCCCATGCCCAAATCGCCGGGCAAAATGTCGCTTCGGAGGCGAAAAATGGCTTCGGGGCAGCAAAGAGGCACAAGAACCCCAAGTCGGCAACGCCTCTCTCTCCAGCATTGCCCACCCATCCGTGCTCAGACATCTAATCACCGTTTAGTAGAACGGGCCTGCGGGTTCTCCGGGGCGGGGTCATCGGGGTTTTTGCGTATTCTCGATCTCATATTTGGAATCAGAAATCCCAAAACTACCGAACATAAATGTCGAGGATCTGAGTGGACTACCCTTGGGTGTGGCGCTTGCCTTAAACACTTAACGTAAGGCAAGTTGACTGCCTTGCGAAGCGGCCATCCCCGGATTTCCTGCCAAGTTGCTCACAATTCCCCCATCCCCAGCAACCTGACTTTCTTATCCATGAAACAACCATCTATCAGTTCCCGAGCGAGAACATCCCTAATGTTTACTTACAAAGAGAGTATTAGTTAAAGATAAAAGAGGAAGCAAAACAATAACAAAGGAGACCTACTGAATTACAAGTACAAGCAAAGATGGTGTTTGCTGGATCTATGCATTATCCACCTCTCCTCATAGAATTTTGATATCTTATCGTACAGAAGATGGCGCACCCGAACACTGCTAGAGTGAAGACAGTGTCCGGGCAAGAAGCCGAATTTAAGTTTTGCTTACGTGGGCCAGTGGCTATTCGCTACAGTCGAGTAGATTTTTCCGCTAAATATAATGCGCTTGCACAGAAAGTGAAATGCGGTGAAATTTGCGCAACGAAACGTCGACTAAGAAAACGTAATATCTAAGTTGTTTTTTCAGCCACAAAACGATCTCCCTTTGCTTTTTGTCCCAAAAATGATACCCAGTTTACTTTTATGAGCCTCTGTGCCGAGCCCTGGACCAGTAGTGAACGAGTCGCACCAAATGCAGCGGATAAGTCTGACGCTTGCCTCTTAGCTTTGGTATCATAGCCACATCCGAAGAATAGCTTATGTTGTATCATTCCACTGGTGCGGTCTTTAAATAATGAACAATAGTGTGAATCGATCTTTCTTATGTTAGATATTTCGCTGTCATTAGCCGAGCAATATCGTTGGCTAATCTATCAATCTCTCCGGATAGGGCATAATCCACAATGCCGCGTGTCCTAATTTGAAGCAGCACCATGCCGTATAGTAGATGTCTGGGAACAGAGAGAGTTCCCCTGGTAGGTGGAAGCTAGTCCATGTCGAGTCGTCGCCAAAATGATAAATGCGATCAAATCCAAGGAAGCGACGCGTTACAGCACCGGTCTTCACTATGCTTGCTATTTTGGATCACGTGATTTGAAGCCAGTCACCTTTAAATGATTTACCTCAAAGCAGGAATGAGCGTCTAAGCTTATGAACGTACCAAATGCTTTTCAATCACGTGTTCAGTTAGGTATGACTTCAGGATCACTTCTCTGCAGAGTTTGCACAAAAGTTCGCGATTATTCGTCTTTGGTATCACGGTACGGTGGGTCGTTTCAAAATGCGTTCTCATGCGTATGCACTGAAAACCATATATGAGAAGACGATAACTCAAAGTGTACTCCTTGAACTAATGATTCTACAGCATATAAAAAACTGGCAAGGGCGATGCACATAGACCGTCTCAATAAGGGCGTCGCAGCTTCAGCGCCCGGGCCTCATAGCCACCTCCATCAGTTCTTGCGCCACGCTTGCGCACGCATCCTCCAAGCATGCTCGCGCTCAGCAGTTGAAAGCTGTGGAAATGCCCGAAGAATACATGAACGCAGTGCAAGGCCGAGCGGGGCGATCGCTAGGATCCGAGCTGCTAGATCTGTGACATTTTCTCGGAGAAAACTGTAGTTATATTGTGCCAAGTCACAGCCTATGTCAAATTACAATTTCTCCCATACACACAACTCAATAATCTCTTTTTTATATATTCAAGCAAAGTAAAAATCAACAGAAAGAAAGAAACAAAAGAAACGTACATCGTAATCCCCCTTGAAGCAGAACAAACAATCCACATGTGATAACGGCGCAGGCGAAACCGCGATGTGGCTCATTGTGTATGTTGCCAGGCATCTAAAACAGATAATATGCAAACTGCATTGTTAAGATACACTAAGCACAGAAATCAAGAATGCTCAATAATCAGGATACCACTGATTCAGTGTGCCACAGAGTGGGAGCAGGTTCCTTCTACACCATTCACACCAAAACATCTCTTTGTTGAACAAAAACACATAAAGGAAAAATATGCAAAATGAGCTTTCATAGCCCAAATGTTGCCGTCATGTTTTGCTTTCGCAAATGGTGAACAGAATCGCAACATACATGCACTAAAAAATAGCGGAATAAAAAAAGAACTGGCTAAACTACTCGAATTTACAGTTGATTGTGTGGCACAAAACGGCAAATTAATCACTACGTACCTCGATAAACACGCTGTTTCCGCTCTGTGCTTAATATTAATGAATCCAAAGATTCGTAGGAGTTCACAATGGCTCTCGACATTTTGGAAATGGGCATGGCAGCTCATAGTGTAAGGGTCGGAACAGCTGACCCTGGGGGGGGGGGGGGGGACTTTTCATACGATCGGGGACTTCGCACCTAGTCTTCGCACCTACCTCACACCTACATCGCACCTCTCCATCCACGTAATAAGTAAGGTTCTCCTACGCCTAGATGAGGGGGAGGGGTGGGGAACTTTTCATACGAACGCTCCCCGATCACTTTGACCTTCTAGCGTATGCTAGGGTGCTGGTAATACGTCCAGTTATCTATTACAATGGACTAAAATGAAACGTTCATTATAAAAAATGCGTAAACTAAAGAATATCTTGATTTTATCTGTTGTATAAAGCTTATCTCGGGTTGAAATAGCGTATCATAGTAAAGATCGTCAAGCCACAACGACTTCTTTTCGCAAACAACTGGCACAATTGTGGCAATGAATAGTTTGCTTTATCGAGTCTCATGCCCTCCAATGGGTGTAGCTATGTCAATAGGCGCGATTCCTATTGCCAGATGGACAGCATATAGCACATATTTAGTGTTTTATGAAGTCCTAGAATTACTTGAAATTTCGAAAGAAATATATTAGGGAATTTAGGGATTGTTCAATCTCATCATCTTGAAATCGATTTCAAACAAAAATGTTAAAGGTCAAAAACACATAAAAATGCAGTTAACAGCAATTTTGTAAATATTTCTGTCAGTTTTCTAGCGAAAGTCGTCAAATTATCAAGTGGTTACTTCAAACAGCTAGTAAGCCAATGAACTTTGTCCGGCACTTTTTGAATTTTCCCATAGCATGAAACTGGAGTTTAAGTTGATGACACCCAGAAAAATCGCGCCTCTTGACCGTCTTCCCCCTCCAATATCCCCTATGGGAAGAGTAACACTTCCAGGTCATGCTGAAAGGTCGGAGAGGCATGTGACAATACTCAAACAAGTTCAAAACGTTTACAAAAGAGACCGAATTATGTTAACTTGAATACTAAAAAATTCGTAAGTGGAACGATCATATTGTTATTTTCCACAGCAAAACACTTTTTGAATCCGTACAGTATTCAAGTTTTCCAAATTTATCCAAATTCGCGGTGCGCAAAAGCTAATCTAGATATTTTTTTTGGAATGGAGCCAGCAGGCCCAAACCTGGCATGGCGCCAGTTTTTGCTGGATCTTTGCCAAAAGATGATGTGGAGGCATTCGTATGAAAAGTCCCCCTCCCCCCCCCCCCTCTCTACAGTATACTAGACGCGGTGTGAGACTTGACACTTAGCCGTAGGTGTTCACACCTCGCACCTCGGAATTGCTCATCGTATGAAAAGTCACTCACCCGCTGACCTGAAAAATGACAAGATGAGAAGAAACATAGAAGTCAAATGGCACGATTCCAAAACCAGTCGTACCTCTCTCGACGAATTTCTGCTCGGCAACTTTGACGTGCACAGCCAATGCTTCACGCTTCAACCTCGTCCGTCTTCAACCTGCGCACTGGCACAGTCCAGACAGAACCATTTTTGGACAAAGTATTATATTGTCTAACCTCTAAACTAACATACCATTCCATTCTTATGCAGCTCGTGCAATGACACGATCTGGGTTGACGGCATAAGAGCTTCGCACACCTGAAAAATGTTATGACAGAAAATAGGAAACAAGACAAGTTCTAGTCATGTCAATATAAAAGCCATAAAGGTTGGATACAAAAACATCTGAAACGCCCAAAAGAGCTTATGCTCTCAACCGAACCGAGCAAAAAATTAACTCATCGGATTTCATGCCACATACTTGCACTTTGCCACAGTAGGATCATGGAATCACGATCTTTGGACAGGCAATAGTGCTCGCTTTGCTGGTGGACCTGGTTCTTCGTCTCTCAGCGTGATAACATCGAAGTTACTACCTTGAATCGATCGTCGCTGAAAGGAAGAACGTAAAAATTTGGACGCAGAACACTGTCAAATCACCTTCAAGACAGGCAAAGCTGTGTTCAGTGGGGCTACGGTAGTCCTTGCAGCTAAACGTAGACAAAGCATAAAAGAAAAGTTAACGCATTCTGCTAATGACTTACAGTTTGCATAGTTTCATTGGGTGTCGGTTCAAATACGCTAGTGAAGAAAAAGTCCAATCCGTTATCGAGAGTCATAGCAAGCTCCTGGAATTCACTCCCTTGATGAAGCTTTATGGCACGACGCCCGCAAAAATATCCTACATCCGTTACACCCTACAAGCCCTATAACGGCAACAGCCTCACGCAGTGCAACCGCAACGATAAGCGCGCGAGCTAGTACATTAGCCGAAAATCGCCAATTTGAGCCTTTCCTTGCTTTTCATGTGTGCTTCTCATTCATTTATTGATAAGTAACAGCTACGACTATCACTTATGTCCTCTATAGCTATAAGACCAGCTCAAGTGTGATGGTGTGATTACACTACTCGAGGCTGCCGCCGTTAGACCGATTGCATACATTTGGACTTCAAAAAAAATAGCTGTCTACTATGTGAAGCTGCGAGATATACGCCCGCTGAATTGCCAATTATCCAAAAAATGCAATTATAAGATTCTGTTTGTGGTTCAGAAACACCGTAGGAAAATTTGCAATGAAAATTTGTGCAAAAAAAAGGTAACCAGGAAATTTACCTTTGATACACCTCCGTTTCCATATGCTTCGGCAGTGATGCACGATGCGGCCGTCATCTAGAATACATAACATTCATCAAATTTGGGACAGCTTTTGGCATGCTCACATGTCACAGAATACTTCCAAAACAAATACTTACCGTGCAGAAATATTCCCTACAAGTTATCAGTGAGTCCTAGACGCTAGGATTGACCATACTTCTACCTGAAGGTAACGTATATAAGAAGAGCAAGTATCAAAAAGATGAGTAAATCGTACTGACCGAACCACGAGAGATCATCATTTCATGAGTCACAGGACTCTTTGGCTGGTAATGTAGGCCATTAGCCGGACATACTCCGATGGTCATCAGACTCGCCTAACAAAATATCAGTCATCATACACTCCTGATAAATTGAACAACTCACCCAAATCTTCTGCTGGCCAAACTGACGACATCTCTGGGACTTCAAAGCAACGTGTACATATATAGACTTCTCATGAGTACCACCAAGATGGCAAGCCTTGCAGAAGAAGATATGATAAGATCAATATTCAAAGCATAGTGTTCTTCGCCGGGTATGGTCATGAGGAGCGCTCTAAAACAATTTATATGTCATGAATTTCTTTTCGCAAATGTGGATAAGCACAACAGAGTAAGACAACAGAGTAAGACATAGCGCGAAGTAGGATATTCAACGCATGAATGAAAGCAAAACAAGAAAAGAGGCTTGAAGGACTGCCTACAAGGGTACTATAGCTAAAACACGGTATGTACGATTTTGCGAATAAAACCACTAATAACGCGGATACGATATAATAGATTTTATCACTCTTCCAGAATGCATTAACAAAAACTTCGAACTAACCTGTTTATAAAAGGTCCTAGCGCGGGATTCCTGTGAGCACATGCAGCCTTTATGACAGCGGCAATATTTGCTTCCACTTCGCTATCGGCCATATCGAGCTGGAGTATCAAGCTGACCCTACCAGTACTAAACTAAAGAAGTACAAATGAGACCAAACTGCAAGTATAGGTGCCAGATTTTCATTTCACCAAAACTACACTCAGCAGGATAAAGTATCTAGTCTAGTCAATAATTCGTGCATAGTAGTAAGGTCAGTAAAATCACTACGCGTACCTTGCCAACAACAGCGTCACACAAACCCCAGAAGGGATAAACAGGATCGCCCTTGATGGAAAGCTTGACACCGCTCTTGAACTTATGTACAAGATCAGTTAAGTCTTCTCCGAGACCACCTGCAAAGAGATTTTGAATTTATACTTACTTACTTAGATACTTAGATACTTAGATGGCCCGGCTTCACGTGACGTGCGGGCCCCAGCTCAGAAGTTTCCATTTTTCCCTGTCCCTCGCTCCTGACATCCACGATCTTCTTGGCTGACGTCGGTGGCTGCGTCCACGAGTTCCAGGTGCAAAAATCGTATCCAGCTGATTTCTCAGCTGGTCCATCCGTTCCACGAACACGTCTGCCCATCTCGTTGGAGGTCTTCCTCGGGGACGTTTGGCTTCGCGAGGAATCCACTCCGATGTTCTTAGTGTCCATCTGTCGTCTGTTCTTGTCATTATGTGACCGGCCCATCGGTGTTTGGCTTTCGCGACGTATTCCGCTGGGTCACTAAGACGGGACATTCTTCTCATATCCGTGCTGCGAAGTCCGACTAGATGTTGCTTGCGTCGGGTCATCTTCAGAAGACTGCGCTCGAGCGCTCTGTGGGTGGTCCGTAAAGCTTTCGACGTGGCTACAGTGTCGGCCCAAGTCTCAGCTGCGTAACAGAGCGCCGGGAGAACGGTTGAGTCGAAAAGGTGGGCACGAAGCTCCGGGTCCGTCAGTTGGTCGGTGGCTTCCTTCAGGGGCCCGAAGGCGGCCCAGGCTGCTCTTCTTCTCCTGTTGAGTTCTTCCCTCAAGTCGTTCTCCATGTTCATCGAACGTCCGAGATACACGTAGGAAGACGTCTCCATAATCGGGGTGCCATCCAATTCCATTTCTGCATCTTCGCAAAGGGCGTTCTTCATGAACTGAGTCTTCTTCCGATTTATTCGCAGTCCGATCTTCTTCCCTACTTCGTTTAGTTCCTTCAGCATCGTCTCTGCTTCGGTGATACTGCTCGAGAAGAGAACGATGTCGTCCGCAAAACGAAGGTTGGACAGGAATCTCCCATCAACTCGTATGCCTCTCTCGTCCCAGTCCAGTGACTTCATCACCCACTGCAAGGCCGCGGTGAACAGCTTCGGCGAGATTGTGTCGCCTTGTCGGACCCCCTTCCCGATTGGTATGGTCAGGGGGCGATGGAATAGCTGCATCGTCGTTGTACAGTCCTTGTAGCAGTCGGCTAGTGTCCTCACGTAAGCTGGGTCCACTCCTTGATCGACTAGCGCAGACAGGATGGCGTTGGTTTCGACGCTGTCAAAGGCTTTCTCGTAGTCGACAAAGGTTAGGACGAGAGGCAGTCGGTATTCCCGGCACACTTCTATGAACCACGTCTGGATTGTGGTCCACTGTCCTAGACATGTGAGCGAGGATGATCTTCGTGAAAAGCTTGTACAGCACACTCGGCAGGCTATTGGACGGTAAATCCGAAGATCCTCCCGTTCACTCTTCTTGAAGAGAAGGACGGTTCTTGACGTTCTCTACTGGCCGGGATTCCTCTCCTTCTGAAGGTAAGATGTCAAATGCGACGCTAAGACCTCGTGTAGACGGTGTCCTCCGGCTCTCAGAAGTTCGACGGAAAGATGATCTGGTCCTGGAGACGTGGACGTCTTCATGGTCTGTATCGCGATACGCACTTCAGCAGGTAGAATTCGTGGTGGTACTTCTCCAGTGGGAACAACGGGCATCTGCACGGGTGTTGATGAGCGGAAGAGGTTGGTGTAGAAGTTCTTTGCGATAGATTCCATCTTGTATCGGGAATAAGTCGGAGTCCCGTCTTCGTTCAGTAGTGCAGCCAGCGGTACGTGATATTCGCAGAGGTCCCTTCTGCACTTCTTGAGACTTCGTCTTCTTTCTGCTGCTTCCAGTATCTTGGCTTGCCTGTACTTCCTAAGATCCTCTTGCAAAGCTGTTCTGCAACTGGTGTTGGCAATCAGTCGCTCGAGATGAGTTGCATTCGGATCCTGCCTCAATGATCTTCTTCTTTCGAGCAATTCCTTGGTGGTCTTCGAGATGCGGTCCAAGTTCTTCTCAGAAGTCACTGAGGCGCATTCTCCGCAGGCTCGCAATCCTTTCAGAAGCCGGTCGTAGTCGTACGTTGGGTCCTCCTCGATGGGCCAGTCACAACTTGATATGAGCTCTTCCAGCCTGTTACCGTCATAAACGACTTTCTTCCTTCTCGCGGCACTATGACAGACTTTCTTTTCCAGCCTTCGGCTGAGTCGTATCTTCGCTCGAAGGAGGCGGTGATCGGAGCCACTACAGAAGGATGGAACTACAGAGACATCAAGTAAGCTCCACCTTCGGTTGGTGAGAATGTGGTCGATCTTTGCGTGGGTCGTTCCGTTGGGCGATTCCCATGTCCACCGGCGATGTTCCTTCTTCATAAAGATGGAATTTCCATGGAAAAGTCGTGCGGCGGAGAGAAGCCCAACAAGACGGTTGCCGTTTTCGTTCCGGAGCCTATATCCAAACTTCCCGATCCTATATTCCCTTTCCAGTGGCATCCCGATTTTCGCGTTGAAGTCGCCCACAACAAACTTGTAAAAGGACTTCTCATTGCGGACGACCTCCTCCACATCTTCGTAGAAAGCATCCAGTTCTGATTCGTCAGCTGCTGATGTTGGAGAATAGCAGTTGATGATGCTGATGGTCTTCTGATGTGGAGGTCGTAGTCGTAGGATGCCTAGTCGAGGTGATAGGATCTCGTGCGAATCGACAAGATGGACGATAGATGGGTGGACGACAAAGCCGACGCCTCCCACGTTTCGTGATGGAACCTTTTCACCACGAATGATGAGGGTCCCATCACTCATCTGTCGCACGTCCTTCTTCCTGGACTTCGTTTCCTGCAGAGCAATGATGTGGTAGTTGATGTGCTCTGCAGCGTCGAGAAGAGCGTGGAGGTCGGCGTTTGTGGAGACTGTCCTGGCGTTGTAAGTGCAGAGCATGAGGCAGTCTCCATGGCGTGTCGTCCGGGCAGACGTGTCGTTTTTGTCCAATCCGAAAGGCGCCCTGAGTACCCTGACATCGTTCTTGCTACCACCCGGCGCCGTAGGCGGGATCCGATGTACAGGGTTTTTTCTAAATCTTCTTGCTGTCTGAGTGATAAAATTTGTTCCCCTACAAGAGGTGGCTTACTAGGCCTACTCTTGATTTCCACGGGGTGATCGCTGACCCCGGGCTTGGAGCGGAGAGGGACCGCCTAGCGACCAGAAGAAGCCAGACGGCGGAGAATCTGGCGCGGCCAGTTCTTAGCTAGGCATCCGGCCGAAACCGGAAAGGTCGAACTCCTTCACAGCTTGGGAGGCCCTACCAGAGTATACACTCGGCTGTGCATCGCAGTTCGACACCCAGTGTCACCCCCACGCCACGATGAGGCGACCGACCATTGTGGGGGTTTGAATTTATAGTGGAAAGAAAATGGTTTCCAAATAATCCTAAGCGACGTTCTCTAGCAAAACCTTATCACTGCCTTGCCTATAGGCATTCGCGGCCGTCACAACGAGAGCGAGAGCCGGCGCGATGTGAGGAGAGAGAGAGAAAGAGAGAGAGAGAAAAAAAAGCAGAAAGAGAAAATCTTTCCCTAGCAGTGGGAAAGCGAGCGGTGGCAGCCGTGAAAAACAGGGCGCGCGCGCCGGGACCACCGCTTGCTTTCCCGCTTTGTGCCGCATTTTCAAATTGCGGCTATGATTTTATATATTATAGGATGGGTTACCGGCTGGTTCCTACTTCGGTTTTGCTAGATGCCAGTCTCAGTTTTGCATCCTCTCTACTATGTTCATGTCAGTATCTGTTACATCGCATCCATCATAACTTGAAATGATTCACTCAAATAATAAAAAGTTTCATAGGAACGACGTTTTCCTACGGTTGCTGACAGTTCTCGATTCATTCCCGTCCTTTCCTCCCTTCCGCCCTTCCCCTCCCTCCCCTTCCTTAACGATTCAATTGTAATTACGATTGATTTTGAAACATAGGTTCCATTTCAACTGTTATGTCAGCGAATAATTTAGTGATTTTGAAACGTGCTGTCTGGATGGGTGGTTTTTTTTATTACAATGAATGGTGATTTCAAAGTTGCTCTCAACTCGTCCCCTCTCCCCTTTGATGTACGAGTTTTTTAGTGGCTGTGATCGATTTCAAATTTTGACTGGCATTTAGTGGTCGAGGAAAAATCGCAGAGTTCACCAAAATTACACAAATCGCTAAAGAAACGGGAATCGTACTTCATACTGAAACCAATATGATCGTATTTTTTGAAATGAGGTGGGGAAGGTTTGCTATTTTCACAACTATGAGACAGTGTATGTAAGTGGCAGTGATGGCGGACCCACAGATTGGTGGGAGGAGCGAAGACCTAACAGAAACCACTCCCGCGGAAATCCTTTGTACCCTTTCAAATTTTCTCCAAGCCTAGAACACAGAGGTGCGATGGGTGGAGTCGGGCCTCCCAAGGGTGAAGGTGGTCCCAGCTACCACTGGCCGGCAAAAGTGATGATGGTAGTGCCGGACACTCACCTCCCAAAAACGTCGATCGCGGGGAGGGGGCGAGGGATTTGAAGGTGATGTCGAAGGGGGGGGGGGGAAGCAAAGCTCGACGTCTCTTTTTGCAAAATAAAATTTCTTGCCTTAAAAGCTACATAAGCTTGTTCAGTGATTGATAAAAAGGAGAAATGAGAAAAGATTTCAAAGGTTACTAAAAACTTTTTTCTCACTTTATTTACTTTAAAGAACTCGCCGTCGCCTACTGTGAGCACGCGAAAGCGATCCTGGCATGAACGCGTTCAAGCCCCAGCACTTTCCACAAATTCGGAGACAGAGCTCCTTGATGAAGTTTGCGCTCTAACCCAATGGTTCTCTTTAGGGTTAAAAACTGTGACCCAATGACCCTTTTAAGGCCACAAATACGATAAGCACGGCGAGATAAGTATTTCAAATAAATGTATTTATAAGATGATGTGCTTGTAAGTGCAGCTCAGCTAGATCTTACGTGTTTTATTGAGTGATTTTATTATAACGTACCGCGAAGAAAGTAGGTCGGTCCAGGCAGTAACCACCGAGAACCAGAATTTCCAATGATAAAATAACGAAAAATCATGCGAAATTCCACTGTTATAAATTTGGTGGTTGAAGATGTCAGCAACTGCGACTTCACAGGTTTTAAAGGGTAAGTGCTGCTCTACCAC